CTGTGCAGTGGGAATTCCAGATAGGACCCTGTGAAGGAATCAACATGGGAGATCATCTGTAGGTGGCCTGTTTCATCTTGCATCGTGTGTGCGAAGACTTTGGAGTGATCGCCACCTTTGATCCTAAGTCCATTCTTGGAAACTGGAAAGGTGCTGGCTGCCACGCCAACGTTAGCACCAAGGCCATGCAAGAGGAGAATGGTCTGAAGTACATTGAGGAGGGCATTGAGAAGCTAAGCAAGAGGCACCAGTACCACATCCGAGCCTACAATCCCAAGGGGGCCCTGGGCAACGCCAGGCGCCTAACTGGATTCCATGAAACCTCCAAAGTCAAGGACTTCTCTGCCGGCGTGGCCAACCTTGGTGCTAGCATCCACATCCCTCGGACTGTTGGCCAGGAGAAGAAAGGCTACTTTGAAGACCGCCGCCCATCTGTCAACTGTGACCCCTCCGCTGTGAAGGAAGCCCTCATCCTTACATGTCTTCTGAACGAAATGGGTGATGAGCTCTTCCAGTACAAGAACTAAGTGGGCTAGACTTGCAGCCCTCAAAGCACCTCTCAATTCTACATCTTGCTCCCACTCTTGCCCCTCTCAATGTCGTAATAACAATAACTCAAAGGGTAGAATATCAAGTTTTTTTTTTTTTAAATTCCTCACACCCAATTAATATCTCTTGCTTTCTTTAGTCAGGATTGAGAGTCAAGTTCTTAATCATTTCACAACCACCTACCTATCCCTGCCCTTTTATTTTTCCTATCACCGGAGCTTTCTCCTGTATTCGTTGGGGTTGGGGAAACATAACCACTGCTTCCATTTAATCAGGTGTGTTTGTCCAATAGGCATAGCTTTCCGGACAGAGAGCCCAGTCACTGTGAAGAGATGGGGAGGACTTTTCTGAGTGGGGGACTGGGGTGCTGGATTCTGTGGTTTGGTTAGGATTTCCCTTCTTGGTGGGAGGTTCCATTACTTAGGAGGTTGTAACCAACTTTCTAATAAAACTGANTATATATATATATATATATATATATATATGGGTGTGCAGATAAATGTGGTTTTCTTTTTAGGGAGAAAAGGCCATTCTGGTTACCGAGAACCCAAATTTGAGACAAGTAGTTTGGTTAGAAATAAGGATCTCCTTTTGAGTTGGGGTGGGGATGGGGTGGCCGTGCTGGAAAACTTGGCTGTTTGGGGCTGTTACTCTGTCGCTACCACTTCAGAGATTCTCTCTGCCCTGCTTGCCCTTCTGGGGAGGCTGACATTGGTTGGTTAACAGATGGAAGCCCATGATAGCAGTAGTCATCACCTGAGCCCCGGGTTTGAAAAGACACACATGTACTTGTACACACTGGAGTTTGGCAATATGTGTTGGCTGGTCAACTTGAGCTTGTTACTGACAAGGGGGTATTGGGTTTTATTTTTCCGGTGGGACTAGCATGTCACTAAAGCAGGCCTTTTGATATATTAAAAGAAATTTTTTTTTAAAAGCAAAACAGAAGTTTAGATTTTAATCATATTTGTAGGGTTTCTAAGTCTTTGTTTTACAGAATTGTTTGCTTGCTTCATCTGTCTCCTCCCCATCTCTGCTCTGGAGGAGATGGGACAAGTCTGGAGTTCAAACAGTTGTAATTTTGTACCTTGGTGTCTTTTCTCTGAGTGTGAAATATTCCCTTCCTTTGTTAAGATTCCTGAGGAGTTACTATTTTTTTTTTCTTTTATAATAAAACAAACTCCACTTTTGTCCTTAAAAAAAAAAGAATGAAACAGTATGATTAATGTACCCAGTATTTGTGAAATAAATGTGGTTTAACATCACTTTTCTTGGCTGTTTAATGAAGAAGACTATCTCTTAATCCTGAGGAAGTGTTTTAATTCTTATCAATTTTCTCACAAATGTGATAGACTCAGAATAGCAAGTTATGTTTGTCACCTTCCCTGGACAGCAGTCTTATCCAGGGTGAAGAACGTGGATGCATGTAAACTGAATATAACCATAGGATGAACAGTATGTCTATTAGGTCATAAGCTCCTTGACAGCAGAGTGTCTCAGGCATTATATCCATGGAGACTAGAAGTGCTTTCATCTAGTTACTCACATTTACTGAATTGAAATGTTAAAATTTTAAGGAAAAAGATGGAATCCTAAACCTTTCCAGAAAGAATAAAAAAGTCATAAAAGAGAAAGATTCAAAGTGGTATCACCCTACTTAACAGCAACTCTGGATATAAAGAAATAGTGGAATGCTACCTTCAAAATACTGAGTCACCAGAAGTGTTCTGTACTTTTCCTCTCATTAAAAAACTCAGTGGAAATAGCTTTTCTTCCCCAATACTGGAAATACTGATAGAATTTCAACTTATAGTCTTATATTCAGTCTAAATATTAATCAAGTGTGAGGGTAGAATAAAGATATTTTCAGGCATGCAAAGAGTGACGGAAGAGAAGTCCCATGCAGCTTTTATTACAGAGGTTTCAGAGAACGTGTTTTATCAAAAATAAGGACTGAACTGAAAAATGAAGATACATGAGGTTCAAGATGCAAAATAACTCATACGGTGAGCAATGCTAAAAAGTCCTAGGATAACACTTGTGCAACAAAGTCAAAGAGTGATTACTTCACACAGGGTTGATGATAGAGGTCAAGGAACAGAATCTGTAGGAAAAAAAGAAAAAAAAGGATATTCTACTTGATATATTTGATGCATTTGGGAGAAATTATTAACAAATATTTTAAAAAATCTGTTGAAGAACTCACAAATAAATAGGGAATTGATATAGGACAAATGAAAAAAATGAGGCAATTATTAACTAAAAGTTCCCTGGTAACTCAGTTGGTAAAGAATCCGCCTGCAATGCAGGAGACCCTGGGTCAATTCCTGGGTTGGGAAGATCCCCTGGAGAAGGGACAAGCTACCCACTCCAGTATTCTGGCCTGGAGAATTTGCACAGTCGAACATGAATGAGCAACTTACACTTTCACTTTCAACTGTACTAGAAAGGAAATGTAATCATTGTACTCATTTTGGCTGGACAGTGACAATATTGACATGGTCATAATCATATTTATCATATCAGTTTAACTCCATTTTGTGATATAACCATATTAGGAAGGTGACAGTGATGCTGTGTTACCATAAAACAAATTCAGTAGATAAAGTCTAATATTTTTTAAAATGTATTTATTTTTAGTTGGAGGATAATTACTTTACAATGTTGTGTTGTTTTCTGCCTGTACATCAACATAAATCAGCCATAGGTAGATAATGTCTAATACTGACAAATCAAGGAGAAAGCATATAACTTAGAAACTGCTAAAATGGAGTTGGATTGACAGTGGGAGTAGAATATCATATTGCTGTTTTTTTTTTTTTGACGGGATGGGAGTGGGAGAACAGAACTTTGTAATACCTCTTACTTTTTAGATAATGTGCCACTAGTATTTTGATTTAAAATATCTTTGATTTTAAAAGAAAAAGATTTAGTTATAAGTTAATGTGTGCATTATTTTACTGAGCAACAAGAACAATAATAACAATAGTATTTGCATGCTAAGTCACTTCAGTGGTGTTTGACTCTTTGCAACCCTATGGACTGCAGCCTGCCAGGATCCTCTGTCTATGGGGATTCTCCAGGCAAGAATACTGGAGTGGGTTGCTATACTCTCTTCCAGGAGATCTTCCCAACCCAGGGATCGAACCCACATTCCCTGTGTCTCCAGCATTGAGAGGATACCTTACTGCTGAGCCACTGGGGAAGGGAAATCCTATTAATAGTTCTCATGCTCATGTTAAGAATTCCACTGGGGGTGAGGAATAATGATGCGAGGAATAATGATGCGAGGAATCCTTGGTGAAGTAAAAGTAAAGAACCAACAAGTGAGATCCACTGGGTTTGATAATTTGTTTCATAAATTTTCGTAATTTTCTGTTAGAGTTCTCCATGTGAGAAACTTAGAATCTGTGTTTTTTCCGAAGCAGTTGTTGAGCTTCCCCAGGGCCACTTTATCCAGTTTTTTATCTTCCCACTCAAACCAAACATAAAGTTATCCTTCTACCAGGTTTTCTAAGGCCATTTGATATTTTTTCTAACATGATTTTAAAAGGTCAATAATTGATGGGTATTAATAATAAAGAATTTGGAAGCTAAAATTATTATTAGGTGCTTGTTACTTACATCCCATTCATTTGTCCAAAGATCTGAGGCATTAACACATCAGTGAGTATTAGTAAACTTATGATGCATCTAAATCTATTATGCTACTAATAATATCTACCACTTACATAATACTAACTATGGACTGGCTTCCCCAGTGACTCAGCGGTAAGGAACCTGCCTGCAATGCCATAGATGCAGGAGACTGGCTTCGATCCTGGGTTAGGAAGATCCCCTGGAGAAGTAATGGCAACCTACTCCAGTATTCTTGCCTAGAGAATCCACGGACAGAGGAGACTGGTGGGCTACAGTCCATTGGGTCACAAAGCGTCAGACATGACTGAAGTGAATTAGCATATATATGGACTGGGGATTATTTCAAGCACGTTGCGTGTGTTATCACATGTCATCCCACAAATAGGAGTTAGGTACTGTGGTTAACAGTTTCCCTTTTTTAAAAAAAATAATTGATTAAAAACTGAGGCATATAGAAAGTGTAACTTGAGTAAGATCATCCAGTTAGTTAGAGGTGGAACCAGTATTTTTACACCCTGGCAATTTAGCTCCAGAGAGTGTATATTCTACTTCCTATGCAATAGATCATATATTGTTAACATACTTGGTGATGATGCTTTAGTGATTGGGGTGGTCTACAGGGGGAAAATCTTAAACTTAAAAAGTTTTTGAAATGCATCATTTGGAATATATTTTAGTTGGTCAAAGGAGTCTCATCAGTCTGATGAGAGAAACAGATGAATATGGAAAGGCAAGGATGAGAAGAGATGAAGCCTTTCAGCTTCAGAGTTTGGGTCCAGGTCCCAGATACCTGCAGAGCGCTGTGTCTCCACAGCACAGAAGTAGATGGCAGAGTCTGTGGCCTGGGAGGCTGTGATGTGCAGGGAGCTGAACGTTCCCTCCTGTTTATTGTGGCACTTATTCTTCCTTTCCTCTTCATCTCTAGGCTCAGAATAAGCAAGGAGATGATGCCTCCTCCAGGATTCTGTTGCAACAACTGTAAGGTGATCATTCCTTCTGAGTAATTACAGTTGATTGTACCCTCCTGGGCGCTCAGGTATCGGGGACTCTGCTCCACTCCATTTTTACCACTTACCTCTGTTCTCAAAGATATTGGCAAGCAGAGAATATTACCATTAGTGAAGCATTTCTACAAATTTCTTTCCTTACACAGTTCCCAGAGGGCACTCCAGTTTAGTCACTGGGAGTCCCTTATCTTCTCAGAATTTTGAAAAAAAAGTCCATTTATTCTTCATATCCATTTAGTCTTCATCTTCCCATATCCAGAAACTCCCCAACTTACAGTGTAACCGAAGCCACAGAATAGCCAATGAAACTTGCTGGGTCTTCACCATTTTTACCACAGGTTTCTGTTACAGAATTTGAAATATATGTTAACTGTTCAAAGAAGTCTATTATTGCTGTAAGTTCTCCTCATTTACTTTAGAAATCAAAAGGGATTTCCAACCCATCAAAGGCAGCACAAATGCACATGTTTGCACTATTTGTAGGGCCTCCAGTACCGCAAACCATCCATGTCTTTTAAATAAAACGTCCACATTGCCATCTAGTGGCAGCACACACAGCCATTCATGATGTAGGTCAAACTGACATAAACACCAAGAAAAAACGAACCAAAGTTAGGATCAGCCCTTGGTGCCCTGGGAGTTAGGGCAAGATGAGGACCAGAAGTGCAATGATTCCTCGGCTTCAGCAGGCTATGCTCCACCAGGTAGAGCAGGTGACAACCCGTGCGTTTTGTAGCGTATGTTTCTGAAACCCAAGGACAGCTCTGTTCTGGCTCTTGAAAGTATTCCTTATGAACATCCCTGGTTTCTTCATATGACATCCTTGTTTCTTCACAAGATATTATTTTGAGCTTGTAGTTGTTTTCTACTTTTGGGACTCCTTTCCAGCCTGAGTCCCCTCCACTGGAAGTGCCCCTTAAAGGATGAATCTAGGGTCATGTTCGTAAAAAGTGACCTTGTTTTCCTGACTATAGCACATTGAGTCTGGGTAAATCCTGGGCTTACGAATTTGGAGTAGGGGTATAGAAATAGTAGTTAGACAATATTTGTCATTAGAGCTATAAAACCGTATTGAGTTCCAGTCAAAGTCATCTCTCGGCAAATGAAAGCTAGGTAGGTTCATACTCAGGTTATTGTGGAGCAGAAACTAGCAGGCTTACAGTGGAAGCTGGTCTCCCAAGAGAACTGATTATACTTTCTGAGAGAACTAGGTTTAGAAAGAACAGCAAATGGATGGCTTTCTTCTTCCTGTGAGGTCTAGCTGTATTTTTTGCAAATGGGTTTTATGAGATTCACCTCTATCTTTTTAGACACTCTCCTTTTCCTTGAGCTAGTGTGAGTGGGTTGTACAACCAGTTCATGTTCACAAAAGATACTGTAAGTCCAGGGTCCCTGGTTCTATACACCACAATCAATTTCCATAAAAATATATGTAGAAGTATGGTATGTAGTTTTCACCATTAAATTTTATTTTGGCTGTTACAATCCATCTAACATGATCTAACATTATAGCTACCTATCTCAACATTGTGCCACTCGCACATTTAACGGGCATACCTTACATGAATTCATGTTAGATGACCATGAACAAGTCAGGATGAGGGATAAAATTGTGTGACACAACAATACAGTTTTCTGTGTGGCATCTTTACACATGGCCATTCTCTCATGTGGGGAAGCCGTGGACAGCAGCATTATACAGTAGGGCAAAGTGGAATGTGGACGTGGTTTGGAGCCAAATAGATTTAAGTTCGAGTGTTGATTAGCCTCGCCACTAACTGGATTGGGTTTTGAAAAGTTACCACAATTTCAGTCCCCGGCTTCCTGTAAAATGAGGATAACAATACCAAACTGTGGTTTTGTGGTGAGAATTACAGATAACGTGGGAGTTCGCAAAGTATAGTGGTTGAGGATGCAGGATTTGGGGGACTCCATCTGTCCTCGAAGCTGGCTCTCCTTATACTGGCTGTTCTCAGCAAGTTAGTTAGTTTCTCTGTGCCTCAGTTTCCTTGGTGCTAATAATTGTACCCACTTCATGGGGCTGTAGTAAAGATTAAATAAATAATGTGTGTGATGCACTTAGAACAATACTTCATACATATTAAGTGCTTAACAAATGTTAGCTATTATCATTATTGATAGTATAATAGGGCCTGTGATCACTCAGCAGATGATACATGATATTATTATCTTATTATTTTCCCAATGAAACACAAAATAGGAAATGTCTTGCAAACATCTGAGCCAATTTAAGTTTACAGAAAGTGCCTTGAATTTAGCAGCTTTGTCTAAGAGAATATTATAAAAAATTTAATAATATGAATGAACAAATGAATATTTATAAAACAGAAACAGACTCATAGACTTCACAAACAAATTTACAGTTACCTAAGGGGAAAGGCGGCAGGGGGATAAATTAGTAATCTTACACATTGCTACACAATCCTACACAAATCCTGTACAACTTTGTACCCATTGAGAAGTCCAATAAGTCTTTTCTCAAGAGGGCATGATACATCTTTATTTTCTAATCCTCCTACCAATGTGTTGGTCCATGCTAAATTCTTCATTTTTCAACTAACTGATCAATGAATGTTTGGAGAATGATTACTTAATAGCTTATGCTGAGTCTTTTGACTACAAGGGCGTTTCTTACTATTTTTGTTGTTTTATCTCCATGTGCAGGTGGAAGAAAAAAATGCAGCCTGTGTTTGAGAGAACTTTGAATATTCTGTTTATGTTGCTTTGGAAAAGAAAAGGTAGAATACTATACTGATTATTTTGATTCAAAATATTATTTTGAATGTATAAAGCAGGTATACCTTCACAAAGATTAGTGATGTCTGGTCATAAATATAATAATTTCTGTGAACTACCAAATTCTTCCACTCTGTAGAAGACAGTGCTATCTATCTATCTGTCACTTCATTCAGTTTTTAAAATTGGGTCCTTAAGGGAGAGAATACGACTTATTGATCACAACAGCCTGGGTTAGAGATGGAGGTTGAGACTGGGTGGTATGATAAACTGGGGGGTTGGTAAGTCTTGTTAGGTGGTCAGGACTAGGTAGAGATTGTCGTAAGAGGGCAGAATCGCTATAGTGCTTTGAGACCTGATCTGTTTCTTTTAGCCCATCTTTTCTCATTTCATCCCCATGTTATATTGTGTGATTATTTTTATTTCTTTTTTACAGATGAAAAACTATAGCTCTGAGACACCAATTAATGTGGCCAAATTTGCATAGCAGATAAGCAGTAGGGCCAAGACTGGGATGCAAGTTATTACAACCCAATTCCTAAATATCCTTCAAGGAAGCCTCAAAGCACAGTGGAGAGCTGGCTTAATTGAGAGCAGGTCCGTTTCTGAGACCCTTTCCCCTCAACCCATTTTCAGTCAAAGAACTGCTGTGCCCCTGGAATTCAAAGCAATTATAGCTGATTTCATTTTCCCTGTCTTCTAACAGCATCCTGGCAGATCGTGAGAGCACAGGGCTCCTTGGTCAGAGGTTCCCAGCAGCTCTGCACCTGTTACCTGGGCCCCTGAGGTTTTTGCACAGCTTCCCCAGTGCCCTCGGCCCTGTGTCTCTGAGTAGTACACGGCCAAGTCGGATACCTGGATGGAATATTTCACAACAGGGGAACTTTTTCCTTTACATTTCTGGCTCCAAAATTTTTGCTGTTTTTCTTGTCTCTTCCTGAAGAAACTGCAGACTTTATTGGGATATTGAATCTCTTAACATTGCTCTGGTTTTCTTGAAGCCTTGTTTTCTGTCTTTATTTCCTTCCCCAGCCCAGGTGTCATTTTGTCTAGTTTCTCAGGGCTGAAAGAATTGCTCTTCAGGTATATAAGCTTGCACTGAGGTTAGATGAAGATGGACTTGAGTTGAGTATTTGCAGTCTTTATTTCTGGTCTCAGAGTGAGTGGCTCAAGGCTAGTGGTGCCCATTTGGGAAAAGGCTGGGTAAAGCCCTTAGAATAACAGAGAAGGAATTCCATGATTGTGTGTGTGTGTTTAACCTTCATTGCCTTAATAGGTGGAAAATGAATCACACTGATCTATTTTTATGTTTCTCTGCTAAAGAACTTGTATACCTCATTATAAATTGGCTGTCCATTTGTACTTCTTTTTGTAGATTGCCCATTTTTCCTCCAGGGAAATTAATGTTTTTATTATTGATTTATAGAAGACATTTTAATTACAAGGGTATTATCAGAAAATCACAGGGTACATATTTTAAAATAACTGATGGCAAAGAACATTCCTTTCCTGCATTACTGGTCTCATAGATTCGATCAATGAGTTATTAGAGGACAATTTGTCCCCTGCTCAGTATGGACAGGGTTTTGAAGACACACAAGAGTGCACACAAAACAGTGTCTGGTGCTCAGATGGAGGATTTCTGCAACTGAAAGGATGTTGACTTCTAACCTGAGGGGCCTGAAAACCTTTATGATCTTTCTCTTCATTTTTCATGATGCCTCAGAGAGGAGGCACCTTAAGACCTTTTGGGGGTATCGGAGATACCCAAAGAGGAAGGAAGACCCACATTTCGTAGGTATAGTTCGATGTCAGGTGCATTGCTTAAGAGAGGGTCACATGGCCCCCTGCCTGGGTCACTGAGTCTCCAACGGTTCTTCCTGAAAAAATAAGGCTTTTGTCATGATGAATAGAAAGAGTGTGGCATTCAATTAATAAATAAGGGTGGTAAGAGAAATTCCAAAACCAGCCAGAGGTTTTTTCCTTTTTCACTTTTTAATTCTTTTTTTTTTCCATTTATTTTTATTAGTTGGAGGCTAATTACTTTACAATATTGTAGTGGTTTTTGCCATACATTGACATGAAGCAGCCATGGATTTACGTGTATTCCCCATCCCAATCCCCCCTCCCACCTCCCTCTCCACCCGATTCCTCTGGGTCTTCCCAGTGCACCAGGCCCGAGCACTTGTCTCATGTATCCAACCTGGGCTGNAGCCCTGTCCTGGAAGAACCACACAATGTATGTGAGGGCTGAGCTGTGGGTTTGTGCCAGTGATTGCACATCCTTCCTTTTGACTTGAGGTGTTTGTGCTTTTCAGTAGTGATTTCTTTTTCAGAAGTGAAACTCCCAAGTCACTAAAGCTACTGGGTCCTTAGTGGTACATACAAGTACTGTGATTCCGTATGTGATTGTTTCTTATCTTAGAGATGCCAAGACACACAAGTGCTTCTCGACCGGTAGAAAAACCACAACAAAAATAAAACACAATGGCACCCTACCTTGGACTATGGAGTGAACCTCTCGCATTTCTCCTAATTCTTGTTGAATTAGTGACAGAGACAGAAGTGCAGGTTTGTGAGATACATGCTGCCCTTTCTGTGTCTAGTTAAACCAATAGG